AAGTCTAGGAAAGCGAGTTATACTGAAAACATGATTTTTTCTGTTTGATATTTGGTTTTGACTGTTGTAACTTTATTTTAATTAAGCATATTTACCAGCTGTTGCTTTAGTGACAGCAGTCGCAGTTGCAGCTTCTTCAGTAATATGTCCCGATTACACTAATATGTCTTAATAGTTGTTCACTTCAATATTGCTCGTACGCAAATAACGCAATGTTGTATATTCGACGCGACTCCAAGCGTTCTTCATATCACGTCCTGCGGTTTATTCTAGAATTCTGTGGATTTGACGTTGTAAAAGTTCAAGGTGCCTCGGACGCTTTTTTAATTCCGTGCGCAGCAAGCTAGAATTCTGAACTCGTAAACCAATTCTGGCTAGCTTGTCCCGTAGACTTGTCATTTTTCACTCCGGCTCGAGTCTCGCGAGATATTGCCTCTGTTGGAATATAGTTTATCACAAAATTCATGGCTATCAAATTTGCGTAGAATGACAGTCCCACTACTTGTTATTATTAAAAAAAATATTGTTTCTCATTGTTTTGAAGAATAAGAATTACACATCATGGCCATACCTTGCCGACTCGAAAAATGAATAATACTATAATAGCATAGTAAGTATACAATATCTCTCGTCTTCTCCTATAATTTATTGTTAATTTAACCTGTTGCAACACATTTCATCATTTCTTGAATGGAACTGGGACATGGTCGTGATTCATGAACTGCGAATGAATACTTAAGGGGCGTTTATCGATCGATACTTAATATGCCTGCACTCAGAGGAATAAGGGATGCGTTGTTCAAATAGCCATGCATTTTTGCTCGTGCTCAAGTTTTTGCTATTGCACAAAAAATGTGTGGGTCATCCTAACCCAGATTGCCCGGAGTAAAGGGCGTATCAGTTCTACGTCACTTCTCATTGTGCCAGATAATGCATCATTGATTGGACAATGTGACCCATTAAATTTTCTGAGTATGCGCACGAAGTTCTACGCAGCAATCCTCAATGTATGATATGGCGTGTTCGATCGAGCATATATTATAAGACGGAATTGTAACAGACATGTCCTCATTGTACGCAACACCGACCTTGAGATCTGGTCTACTTTCTCGGCCGTGATCAATGAAGTTGTTACTTGAATATTTGAATTGCAAAGATTATGAAAAATTTATAACTGTGTAAAATGGAAATAAATCAGTTAGTACTTGGAAAAATTTTGTCGAAAAAATTTAAGACCAACGTTAACGTTATATAAGTTTAATTTATTTTGACAAGTTTAATGATATACTTCGAAATATATTTCCAATTTGCTTACGCTGAGTGAAAGCAAAGTTCAGGTCATTTAACGAGTTTCTAATATGTTCAGCTGCTCTGAAAAGTTACGCGTTCGACTTTCTCGGCAGCATTCAAGTGCAGCGCCCGGTCGGACTAGCAGTGATAGGACGAATCGAGATGCATCGGGTCAGACCCAGCCTAAATTGGCCCAGCTTATGGATGGAACCTGCGGCACTCTGAGAAATATTTGGATCATAGTGTCCATATAGTGAAATGAGTGTCTCTGAAATGATCAAAGTGTCCAAATAGTAATACACTTCCATACCACCAGCATGGACAGAGAGTAAACGTATAGCACTAACACGACCCTTCTTACCGGTCCAAACTAGGCCAGAATGACCCAGACTGGGGCAAAAAGTGAATCGCTATTTAGACAAAGTCCCGCTCGTTTTTCCGAGTGCGGTAAATGAGGGTTAGGAACCGACGGTAGCGGCAGGTCGATGAGCTGTCAAGAAAATTTACATAGGCTGCCACCCCATCTGCATGATCAAACTCGGAACTTTTTATAGCGCATTTTTTGATCGGTTTTGCACTCAGAGGAATAAGGGATGCGTTGTTCAAATAGCCATTTATTTTTACCATTGTGTAGGTTTTTGGTATTGTGTGGGTCATCCTAACCCAGTTTGCCCGGAATAAAGGGCGTATCAGTTCTACGTCAGTTCTCAGTGTGCCAGATATTGCATCAATGATTGGACGATATAACCCATTCAATTTTCCGAGTGTGCGCACGAAGCTCTACGCAGCAAACCTCAATGAATGATATGACGTGTTCGTTCGAGCATATATTATAAGACGGAATTGTAACAGACATGTCCTCATTGTACGCAACACCGACCTTGAGATCTGGTCTACTTTCTCGGCCGTGATCAATGAAGTTGTTACTTGAATATTTGAATTGCAAAGATTATGAAAAATTTATAACTGTGTAAAATGGAAATAAATCAGTTAGTACTTGGAAAAATTTTGTCGAAAAAATTTAAGACCAACGTTAACGTTATATAAGTTTAATTTATTTTGACAAGTTTAATGATATACTTCGAAATATATTTCCAATTTGCTTACGCTGAGTGAAAGCAAAGTTCAGGTCATTTAACGAGTTTCTAATATGTTCAGCTGCTCTGAAAAGTTACGCGTTCGACTTTCTCGGCAGCATTCAAGTGCAGCGCCCGGTCGGACTAGCAGTGATAGGACGAATCGAGATGCATCGGGTCAGACCCAGCCTAAATTGGCCCAGCTTATGGATGGAACCTGCGGCACTCTGAGAAATATTTGGATCATAGTGTCCATATAGTGAAATGAGTGTCTCTGAAATGATCAAAGTGTCCAAATAGTAATACACTTCCATACCACCAGCATGGACAGAGAGTAAACGTATAGCACTAACACGACCCTTCTTACCGGTCCAAACTAGGCCAGAATGACCCAGACTGGGGCAAAAAGTGAATCGCTATTTAGACAAAGTCCCGCTCGTTTTTCCGAGTGCGGTAAATGAGGGTTAGGAACCGACGGTAGCGGCAGGTCGATGAGCTGTCAAGAAAATTTACATAGGCTGCCACCCCATCTGCATGATCAAACTCGGAACTTTTTATAGCGCATTTTTTGATCGGTTTCAAAATAAATACGTTCTGACTTTGTTAGCCCAAGCGTTGCAAATGAAAATACGAAAGAAAAAATAACAGAGTGAGTTGGCAAGTTGTATTGTTTGCTTTCCTTTGAGCACGTCCATTTCAGTTGCAGTCTTCTGAAGCTCCATGTTATATTTAACTTACGCCCTCATAGGAGCTATGTTTGAACTTAGCTACGAAGTTCATCTTTTTCTCGAAATGCGTTGGTGCAGCATTGTATATTTTTAGTTGAATGCGTCAGAAGCTTGATCCTGGGAGTTTTCTGTTATTCACCCTTACTATATTAATAGTAATTGAATTTAAAATTCTCACTTGAAAAACAACAGTCATCCTCATTTTGTACTCGAACTGTTTTCTCTAACTCAATCTGTTGGTTTCTTCAAGATATTATGGATAAAGTCCAAAACTACGTCGAAATTAAATACACTTAGTAATTATTTTCTGTTGAAAAATCTGACGTGAACCAAAATATTAATAATCTTTCTGTCCCGCTCTGTTGTCTCTAACTCCATTTTTTGGTATCCTCACTAGCATATCCTGAACCAAACTCAAAACTACATCAAGATAAAATACACTAGTATTAGTTTCTTCCATTTGTTTCTTGAATTTCGAAAGCCTATTGTTTATAGGAAGAGTTTTTGCCAAGGACTCCCGTGGGGACATTGCAAGGAAGATTAATGGTCACTGATGCACAAACGGCCTCTCAAACAAACCTTCTCAAAAATCTGCCACCGCTCGGAAAACACGAAGATGAATGTTCGCTGGCCTGGCCTGGCCTGGCCGAGTGTTCATTAAACGAGAAAATCTTTTGCTGAGATGATGTCATCATCACTCGGGCAAAGTAAATGGCCATGTTAAAGAAATTCGGATAGTTGTGGTATTCCGGGCAACGTACTTCGTTACTCCACACAAAGGATGAGTGGTCATTACATCAGTAATTTGTGGTTGAATCTCATATTTTAAACCAGATTAAATTATGATTAACCTGATTGAATAACTTCAAGTAAATAAGAAGGGACCGAGGAATACGAGTGTATTGAACCTGTTTCCGTGCGTGGTTCTTAGCGCAATTTAATATTAGTTATGATACATGTAGTTTGTGTGATATTCAAACACATCAATGGAAAAAGCGACACTTGTTTGGCAAATCAAGATCTCGCATGTGAATAATTTATGTACAGTAAATATTATAGATCATCTGCACAAAAATTAGAGATCATCCGCAAAGAGCATGGATTGTCATTTGTCAGTAGGGATTTTTAAAATTATAATTATCTCTAATTGCCTTTCATTTGATCTATTATATGACTGTTATCTCCTAGCAACTTTGTCTAGAAATTTTACATCAAAAAATTAACTAACTAGCAATGTATGAGTAGCCTAAAATATTTTTTAAAAAGATCCTTTTGTGCAATTATCTCATCCTCAATCATCACCACCACAACGAGCCATATAGCAATACCACCACCATTGCCAGGATGAAATCACCACTACCACTGGCCATCATGGCTCCATTAACTTCAGAGCACGCCGTTGCCAACACCAATTATTAATTTATAAATCGCTGCTATCACGGACCACCGGAGCACCACTATCATCACCACCACCTTTATATCACGCCATCACCACCATCAGAGCACCACCACCACCACCAGCAGCAGCAGCAGGTGCCCTCACATCATTTGTCTGCGTTCCGTCGCGACTGTTGAGGCCGTCTGGAAAAAGCGGAAATCCTGAATTCTCGGTCCTTTAGGACCTTGCCGACGATTTCCTCTCAGATTGAACAATGAAATGTATTTTTTATCTCAATTTCTTGATTGAAATGAAACTCCTCACTAGAACTGCATGAAGAATTCGAGTCAAATGGCTATAGGTTTGTTGAAGCCTTTGTTATTATGGTAACAAGGTTCATATTAGTAATAAGGTTGTTATTATGGTAATAAGGTTCATTTAAAATTGTGATTTCCTTTCTATAACAAGTAAATATTCTATGAACATTATAAACTGGTGTTTTTGTAATTAAAATATTAATGGAAAAAGCCGATTCACGTTTATTTTGCTCGTTAATGAAAAGTGTCACTGGTAAGTATATACAGTAATATCTTAATCATTTAATAGGGTTATTCCCTCACTTCCAAACGACATATAATCATTTTCTTCGCGCTTCATTAGTGTAACGTTCATCGTGTCTTTCTGAAATGCACTCAGCAGCTTGGACAAGTTTTAATTGCAGTGTCGGAAGTGGCAGACAAAGACATCTCCGCCTCGCCTTTAGTGCTGCTTTTGGCGTGGATAAAACAGAGCTATAACTTCAGAGCGCGCTTATGTGTCACCATTTATGTCATCCATATTCAACACTCTGGTACTCGTGGTCTCATTTGCATACGTGCTCATTGCAGGGGAAAAATATCTGTAATGAGACGTTGTAAATCATGTTTATGACTTGGTTTAAAAGTCATAAAGTGAAAATATATGGTCATATATCATTTCATATACCTGAGTTATCATAGTGAAATTAGTTTTTTTAGATGAACTTTTTTGCCATTGTTTCAATCAATTTGTTTTCTTTTTTTCAGAACTCTGCTCCCGAGGGCACCTCAGCAGCCGCGACCGACTCGGTCCAAGCGAATAACTCTCGGACCGCGTTTTTCGTCGAGTCTGTATCTCATTTTTTATTTAATTATTATACATCATCTCACATAAAGCAATTACACACAGACAGACGTGGAACAACGCAGTTTTCACAATTTGTAACATACACTCTCACGTTAACCGAAGCATAAAATTGTTGTAAAGTTCGTTGCCTGAAAAACTTAGCAATGGGGATCTGTCGTTTCTTTAATTTATAATTCTATTTGCATGGTTAGATATCTGACATCAACAATCACTTTTTGATACCCATCAACGAGGTATCCTCTTATAAGTTATACCTACTTGAAGGTTCCTATCAACAAAATACGGCAATGGACGATCCTGATTTTGAAATAAACCCAAACCAAGAAATGCCTGGAATTAACAATAAAAACATTCGTGCCTTGGAGGAATGCAAAGAAAAATGTACTGTTAATAATGGCAATTCTAAAGACGAACATGAAAAGCTCATAGATCCTGTAGTCTGCAAAATCAATGGTTCCCCGAGGAACTCGGTTAAATTAGATTCTCATACCACAGATTTGAGTCCCTGCATGAGTACATGTACGGATACAGTTTCCGGGAAAAGTAATTCGATGTTTGATGTTTTAAGCTCAACACGTTGCTATTCATCTGACAATATTTCGCCAAAGAATTGCTGTTCTGCAAGGAATTTGCACTTGGTGAAAAATGAAAAACAAAATTCGGAAACACTGCATTCAGAAATACAGTCCTCGGAGTACGGCTCTCTTAGTTTAAAATACGCAATTAATACATTACCTAATAGTCCCAATCATAGCTCTAATGCTGAGACAGAACACCACAACCGTCCTCTAAACTCCACCCAACATAATTTAAAAAAACAAACCCACACTCGCACTGACGGTCACATGGACGATAAAGAAGCTGGCAGAAATTCTTCTTCCCCGAGCGAAGAAGTTATGGCCCCAGACAACAGCGTCCGGGAAGTGACGTCGCCGCGGGGTGCATGTGTGAGAGGAGAGCACCCAGGCTGGGCTCTGTGGCGCGGTCCTTTGCGGGGTGCCCACCTTGTGGTAGCGCCTATGGTCGACGCTTCAGAGCTGCCCTGGAGACTTTTGTCGCGGCGCTACGGTGAGTGGTACCATGATACAGAACCAGAGGTCAATTAATGTAGCGGAAAACGTGAAAAAGTTTATCTAAAAGAATGCCTTTATCTGCGGATACATTCTTCCGACGAATCCGTATCTAAATCCATAATACCAATGATATTCGTATCTAAAAGCCTGGTAAATAGAGATAGGTATCGAAAAATATGAGTTTAAAAGTTAAGGTAATAATCTGTGAATGAATGGCAAATATCGCAAATGTTGATGGTACAGGAGCGGAGCTGTGCTACACGCCCATGCTGCATTCCGTGGTGCTCGTGCGGGATGCCCGCTACAGGAGAGACAATCTCCAGTCTTGTGAGCAAGACCGACCACTCATTGTTCAAGTGAGTTGAATAGTGCTTGTCTCTTATTGATAAAGTTATCTTTATATTATATTGGTTTCGTGACCTTTATGTAGGTGTCATTATGTGCAATTTGTTAAGAATGGTGACTGTCACTTCTCTGCATTTAACAGAGGAATTTGTTTTCGAATGATAATTTCTTACATTTAATAAAGCTCCCATGTGAACTTTCTAGCGGAAATTTAAAGTTGACACTTTTCCCGTGTGAACGCTTTTCCGAACGCCACTTTCTTGCAAATAAATCGCTAAGGATTAACTTTACCTTGGCTTTCAAAGATCCTTCTCGCTTTCATCATCCTACCTCATCTCTCGCTTGATGAGCTCGTCGAGGCAAAGCTCATTTAAACTTTAGCTGGGCCAAATTCGTCTCGCTTGCCGTATGGTCTCCTTGTCTGGCAGAAAATCTACGCATTTTATAGTGAAACTTCCTGTTCTAGCTGCATTTTAGGTGCTCAGATGTGATTCATTGCTAAAATAATCTAGAAAATTTTAATCAGTTATCCGGAAAAGGAATGCTGTGTTAACTCAGAAAACAAAACATACCGTACGCGTGTGGTCTATTTTCAAAGCGCAGTAAACGGTAAACGTACGATGTATCTGCACTGATTATAAGATATGTGCAAAGTTTAAATACTTCAAGGCGTAGTATTTGTTGGGTTGCTTCTGATAATTTTTTTTAAATTTAAGTGATCGTTTTGATGCTGTTTCTGAACTTTGCGTCTTTACAACTCCATGACTAAAAGGCTCGGTCCATGTAAGCGCCGCCGAATCCTCTTAACCAATTCCGCGTACCTTGTGTAAGTTTCTGCCGTTTTACGTGCCTTATCCGCACTTCCTTATATTTAATAATTTATTTACCTTTAATTGTACTGCTCCTACTTTTACTAATAAATTTTTGAACGCTATTATGTCTCTTGTGTCCATCCCGTGGTCTAACACCCATAACAATGTCTTTGTTTATTGAACACTATATATTTATTGCAATTTTTTAAAAGGATTCGATGTCTAGGTTTTTATCTCGTTGCCAGATCTGCGGCAACGACCCGGCGACGGTTGGCGAAGCCTGTCGCCTCGTGTCGCCACACTGTGATGCCGTCGACATCAACCTAGGCTGCCCTCAGGCAATCGCCCGCAAGGGACGATACGGGGCCTTCCTCATGGACCACTGGGATCTTGTGCATAACATCGGTGAGAAATTCCAGCTCAAAATGACTTTAGTTTAAGCAGAGACGTGAGTTCAAAATAGTGTAGTCGGATCTTGTGCAACAGTGAGAAATTCCTGCTCAAAATCACTATAGTTTAAAAGAGACGTGAGTGCAAAATAGTGTAGTGCTTGTGCATCGGTGAGAAATTCCTGTTCAAAATCACTATAGTTTAAACAGAAACGTGAGTGCAAAATAGTGTAGTGGGATCTTGTACATCGGTGAAAAATTCCAGCTCAAAATCACTTTAGTTTAAGCAGAGACGTGAGTGCAAAATAGTGTAGTGGGATCTTGAACATCGGTCAGAAATTCCTCTTCAAAATGACTATAGTTTAAAAGAGACGTGAGTACAAAATAGTGTAGTGGGACCTTGTGCATCGGTGAGTCGTTCCTTGTCAAAATCGCGATGTTCCAACCAGAGGTTTGAGTGAAAACATGCGAAAGATTGTGTCGAAAATATTGTCGTAAAATGTAAAAGTTTAAGTAATGTAAGAAAAGAATTAAAAATGAAAATGTCGAAAAAATGTAATTAATGTAGAATGTAAAAAGTTCAAGTAATAACTATGTGAAGCCATGAGCCACCAGCGGGAAAATAATTGCTGTCAGGTCAGATGACAGGTCTTCGTTGTTGTCAGGTTATCATTGCTGTCAGGTCAGATGACTGGTCTTCGTTGTTGTCAGGTTATCACTGCTGTTAGACGTCTTTCCTCTTCATCATCAACGTTCAACAGCCATCAACTGGTGAACGTTGACGCTTTTATTCAACCTCAATCCACTAAATAAAACTTTATACATAATTCAAGGAAATCGTGTTTGACGGAATTTATTTAAATTAATTTTATATTCGTCCCAATGAAATTATTGAAACGAATTATTTGAGTACACAAAATTTCACGACCGTTAAAATCTTAACAGTTATGACAAACGCTGACGTTATTGCTACGAACTGAAAGGGACATGGAAAAAATTTTCTTGTGACACATTATTTGGTAATACACTATCTCTATGAAATACTTCCTTACTCCATTCTCTTCTTTAATTTTAGAAGGAAATTTCCCATCAGACAACTTTCCTGCCTTGTTGTCAAGTGCCCAGACTCTCCATTGAATTAATTCGATTCTCGTCGACGCTCCTAAAATAATGCGGACATGCAACCCCCGGACGATAATTTCTTTCGCTAAAAAGAACAAAAAGGCCATTAAATTTATTTCCGACGGACGCGCACAAAACAATTGCTTTGGATTCGAGAGTTAATGCTGCCATAAAGATGGTCCATCTTTGTATTGGAGTTTCGTTCAACTTTAATTTAGAGTTATTACCAGTGTCAGGTGTTCGTTGCTTTAAAGTTGCGAATCAACTTAGCATGTTTCTTTGCATGCAATCCTTAAGATTCTGTTGAAATATCTTTTTAATTTCATGTAATTAATGAAGCATCGTTTTCTATTTGATACGATTTACGTGTGGGACCCATCTCGAAAAATGGCTCGCTGCTGATAGCGGATGCATTTTCGATTTGCACGTCAAAAAATTCAGACTCTTTCGTGAATTTTTCGTTCCCGTACCGATCTTTGACAAGAATTATGTAAATATCATTCTACCATGTTTGCGTCCATTATTTACTTTAGCCTGATGTTTCGGAATGAGCTCTCACTGATTATTATATTATTCCTTTGCAGTTAAATAACATGGAAATACTACCTGATATAGCTACTTAGGCTGTCAATGATTGAGATGTTATTGTCTGCAGTGTGTAAACATACAAATATTACGTTATATTTCAGGAAAACTTTGAAATCAGTTCTCATGTTTCTGCTGTAACTTCATAAAATATTGTTTGCATAAAGAAAACATGAAAAAATCGTGTATTTTTCTAGAAAACGCGGAAATCGGACCTTATATTACAGCGTAGGCTGTTAATTATATGTTGTACTACTATTGCGTGTAAAGAGAAAACATTGAAATAATATATGACGGCAAAAGACTCTAAATTGATTAAATTTTTTGTACAGAGAAGCCGTCGACGTGCCGGTGTTCGCTAACGGCAACATCCAATACAAGGCAGACGTTGAGCGCTGCCTCGCCGCGACCGGCGCTCAGGGCGTCATGAGTGCAGAAGGCAACCTCCACAATCCCGCCATATTTGCTGACCCCAGCCTCTTCCCTGGTTAGTCCAGGTATTTCTTTATGTCGTGATTTCTATCATGTGTTTAGTATATGATTTTCTGCATTTTCTGTTTAGTTTGCTTGTCTTATTTTACATCAGTTATTGTATCCATGTATGGCGGTTCGCGATCTGTTCGCTGCATTAACAGGAGTTTCTATATAAGCTTCCATCACGAACTTAAATGCACGAATATCAATGAAAACGCGTTAAATATCTAGCTATTCCAGCTTATTTTTACCTAACTTCTTCCTTCTGATGATTGTGTAAATTATGACCCAATCTTCCGCGATTTTTACAACCTAACGACACCTTTAATTTTTGCAGGTTCCGCACCAACTGTATGGCAGATGGCGCTGGAGTATCTGCAGCTGGCCGAGGAGCATCCATGTCCTCTGAGCTACAGTCGAGGCCATCTTTTCAAGCTTCTTCATCACTGGTGTGTGGCAGGGTTTCAATTATATGAGTAGTGCTTTATATATTCAATATCGATAAAGCTAGGTATCGTGATATTAAGCTCAATTTTATGGGAAAGGCCCAGTTATTCAATATGATCTGTGTTCCAATATTACCGCACCTGAACCCCATGATGGTTTACGGAGAACTTTTCCTCATTTACGCTCATGAACTGCAACTAAATACTAATTATCCATCGACAATGGTAAACTCTTTAGAATGTCAGTCCTATTTCCAGGAAAGGTTCTGTGATGCCATAGTTATCCTGTGCTCATTTATTACCACTCGTATTGGGATGCAATAAATCCTTTGTTTATGTATTACCACTCCCAAACTCCATGCTCGTGTGCCGATAAGTCTTCTTAGTAATACCGTCATGAAACAAGACGTAATTCTAAGACACTGTCATCTGCAGTCATTTGTAATGTATAAAATTATAACTCAGTACTCACTGCAGTGAGTGACAGAGAGCGCACTTTCTCGCCGACGAAAACTTGAGGTCACGGACAGACAGACAGAGCAGACGGGCGAGCAGAATAGTGCATTTTTTCCATAAACGAGAAACGAGAACGTCTCGTTTCAGCCGAGAACCGTCATGAAACGAGACGTAATTCTAAGACATTCTTANTTGTAATGTATAATATAAAAAGCAGATGAATCTTATACATCATCGTCATCCGCAGCTTCAGCATGGCCGAGAACAGCGACATTCGTCAGACGGTGAGCAGGTGCAGCTCCGTGGCGGACATGCAGAACGCAGTGCAGCTCCTGAAGGAGAGGATGACGCCGTACGTGACTGGTCAGACGTCGTGGGTTCCTGGTAAGCGTCCATCTTGTGTTAACATGTTCATTTTGATTGTAAAATCATATTTGATTTTGATTTGCATCCGAATTACCTCGTGAATTTTGATAGTTCATGGTTTTGGTTCAGTTTATAATATGGTGAAAACCACTCAAGGGTTTGAATTGTATGAATAATTTTAAAAACGCCCGCTCATGCAGTTTAAAAATCATGGCTCAAATTAATTGATCGTTTAATTAATTAATTGATCGTACTATTAAAACTATGGCCACCCGTTTACAGTCATTTTTTACGGCAGAGAACAACTACTTGGAGCAGCTGCCGCTACGGCCGTGGTTGTGCCAGCCTTACGTCCGCACATCGCCGGCCGAACACGCACGGCGCTGTAGGGAAGGTCAACTCAAAGCTCAACAGCGGCAAGAAATCATGAGTGGTATTGAAGGCAAGAGAGCGCTTGAATGCGACGACTTCGAAGAGAAGGAAGCTGACTTGCTTCTTAGAAGTGGTGCTTTTGGAACCTTGTCCAAAAAGAAAGCTAAGAAGCTTTTACGAAACCCGCGAAAAAAGTTCTTGGGGTCTAATTCTGAGACCGTCAACTTGTGCATTTGTCGGAGTCCGCGGGTGAGTATATATTTTTTTTTTCAGGAGAATCCGAAAATTTTCATCGAGGTAAATGAGATAGTTGAATTGCTCAATGTCTCGTGTAATTTCAATTTTCTTTATTTGAATAATTTTGTGTGCATGAATGTTGAACATCTGTTAATTTCCAACACATAGCAACGTCATTAGTAAAGTTGGTGCAGACGGGAAAATCGCAATTTAGCTGGAAACGATAATATGTATGCACCGCTACTTTGACGCTTAATTTTACAGGTCATTGTTAGCATGTATTTATAAACGCCAATGTAAATTAACGCCTGTGTAATATTACAATACTCTTTCAAAACCTTAAGCAATGTACCGTATTGATCCCAATTTATCGTTTTTCAGGGGGGGAAGTGCGAGTACGAACTGTGCAAGGCTTGTTGTAAAGGCAAGTGTTATACAGACAATTTAGACTGTACAGGACACCGAATTTGGGTGAAAACCAATCGACGAAAAGCATCTAGTTTGCCTCCATCTACATCCAAACTGCAACCAACTACAGCAGATGAAAATGTCTTATTCGCACCAGCCCTTAATAGCAGTGAAAATATCAGATAAAGAAAGAGCGCCTCATCAAATATTTCATCTTCTGACAAACAACCAGTATTTTGCAAAGATCGTCTGTGCAATCTTAATTATATCGTAGGATGCGGCAGATAAATTACAGACAAATAATTGTAAAGAATTTTTATTTACAAAGAATTTTGAGAAACGTGATAAAATTCAACTGTTCGATAACTTACAAAGCCAACTTAATTTTCGCTTCACTTGTCAACACATTTTGCATTGATTTATAAGCCTGGCAACTGCACATACTTTGACGAGTATTTAAACAATTTAATTGTATTCAGGATGATTGACCAAGGGCAGCAGCAACATTCTGTTCCACTTGCTGCTGACTGCGTAATAATTCCTTGCATTGCTTCAGGGCGAGCTGCACGCGTGCCGAGGTGTCCATGCATTCTAGGGACACAAATGTCTGCAAAATAATAAAGTTCTTTGAACCTTCCTTTTACAAGCTCAACCAATTATTTCAAGTAAACGAGTATCTAGCGAGTGTGCAACAACCTGTAAATATATACGACCATATATATCCACCGATTGATCCAATTACATTTAATATTTCTATTACACACGATCTTCTCGCCTATCCCTCACTATACACAATGCCCTCACCTGTTCCTCACTATACACAATGCCCTCATCTGCCCCTCACTATACACGATGCCCTCACCTGTCCCTCACTATACACGATGCCCTCACATGCCCCTCACTATACACGATGCCCGCACCTGCCCCTCACTATACACAATGCCCGCACCTGCCCCTCACTATACACAATGCCCGCACCTGCCCCTCACTATACACGATGCCCGCACCTGCCCCTCGCTATACACAATGCCTGTACCTTCCCCTCACTATAGAAGATATCTCACTATACACTATATAATCATACCTGCACAACATGCATCGGGTCTCTGAAGTCTGTCATCGCTTTAGCAACGTCACTCTTCTGATGCAGGAGGCAGTACAACTTCACAACCTGACTAGCAACATCCAACCTGAAGAAATTACAAATTATTTTAGTTTTTCATCAATGCGAGTGGAAAGGAACATGGAATAATAAAATTTTTAGAAGTATTGGTTTTTCAATTTTTTTCTGTTTGATATCTTGCGTAGATAACTGATGATCTTCAGAAATGATATTGTATAGTGAATATTGTTTTTAAAAAATGACTGATTGTTAATGGGCTCTTAAGATAGTACTGCAACATTTCCAGAGTTCTCTGCTAAACGTATACATTAATGGAATTTAGGTAACGCTTTCTAGGAACGAATTTTTAATCACAGTCAACGAGTTCTTATTAGAGATGGAAGTGGAAATTTGACAATAGAAATATCTCTTTTAAGAATTGATGCGCTTTCTAGAACAACTACTTAATTGATTGACCGGTGGTCAATTTTTGAACGCAAATAAAGCATTCAAAGCTGCCATTTGTCCAATTAAGGTTAATTAACGGACCTGCCAGCCATGAGATGATGCTCTAGGAAATTATTCAAGCACTTGTGCCAGACAAGGAAGAAGAGCATAGGGCCGTAGTGTCGTGTCGAGAGGAGCGAGTCGTAGTGCTGCTTCTTATCTAGAGCTTCATAAACATAAGCTACCACACTTTGATACTCCGGCTCATCAGGCTCGAACTGAAGGCAGGCACGATCCAGCACAAACTCGTACTGTCCTCGTGCCAGTACATCCTGTGGGCATGATAGATTAATCAGCCAAAAAATTGATTTCTTTCTACAACACTGGAAAAATTGGTAATTTAAGCAATAACCTATAATTTGCAAATAAATGTAGGGCGATTATAACTATATCTTTTGGTCATACATGAAATATTATAAAGAATATCAAGTAATGCTAGTAATTTGTTGAGATGGAAAATGTGCCCTTCCTATGTCCCGGCTTAACTTTAATGCCTGTCTTCCAATAATATACCAGTTTCATGCAGCAATTGGCATTAATTATATATCCTTGAAATAATGATTGAGTGTCTCGGCTTTGTTGAAAAACATCATTGAGATGAGAATACAAAACTAAATGTAAGCAGAAGAAATGGGAAATAACTAGGATAAGTTTTGTCTACGTGACACATTTAAGTCGTTATATTATAAAGCATAAAAATAAAATTTTATTCAACATAAACTACTGATATTAAAGTTTACATTTCTTACAAACCGATAGGAGTTCACCCAAGAGAAAACAACTAGTACTGCTGATTTTTTTCTCATTGTAACTCACAGGCAGGCATTTGGCGGTAAAAAGCTCAGATACGTAATGCTTGCGGCCTTTACGAGGATTGTAGATTTCATTCATTCTTTGACGTTCTGCCCCATTGGCATGCCTTAGCTTGCCGCTGTTCTCCCTCACAACAATGATACGTTTCTGTTGACAAGTGAAAACAATTATAAGCTTGCACCAAAAAAATGAAAAGTAGACATACCACTTCTACAAAAAAAAATTAATATAATAACTAACATATTCACTCTTGATATTGATGAATGGTAAAACAACTCAATCCCAGAGTAATTGGTAGGTATTCCAAAATTTTTAATCCAGGGAATTAAAATTCTTGGATATAGATCAGGTCTTAGCAGATAAACAGCACCTAACAAAACTTACTGTAATATGCCAGCATATAAACTAAAAACTAGAGCTCACATTATCAGGTATCCCAAGAGAGATGTCAGTGAAAACAATTTTGAAGTTTGGCATGATGCCCTGCAAGGCAGGATCAAAACTGATGTCTTGCACTTCCTCAGCTCGGACCTTAACCACAGGTGGCATTGACAGTAACTTGTCAGCCTTTATCTTAGCATCATTTTGAGCCTGGAAGAAAAAGTAAAATTTATGGACCACTTCCACAGGCGATTTATGTTACCTTAATTCTATAATCAAATAGGTATGACAATGAATCAAAATGATAAATGAAATGCTTTTTACAGTAAAATTTACACAAACCTAAAGCAGTTGTCTTGATAATTATAAGGTGAATTATTTCAAATATTATGACATGTGACAGCTTAGGGATTTAAAATTATTCACTTCTTCAAGCAGATGATTTGAGCAGATTTTGATGCCACACTAAAAGCTTACAATTGAATACTGGAAAAGTTTCAGTAAATGTTTTAATTTACATTTCCAACAAGAGTTTATTGATATTTGTAGGGAACTTTGTTGAATTTTTTACTAAATGGTAAACTTGCTTGTAAGACTTGTTCAGAAAAGACACCAAAGCCATCATGAGTGATTGAATTTGTGGGATTGAATTTTGCCCAGCTGAGCAGTACTGCAAGATTCATTGAACAATATCTGTGCTTTGCACAAATGCTTGGTTGCATAATATAGGCATTAAGATTAGTTCAACTTTCAGTGACTGTGTGACAACATGAAACAAAACTAATCATCAGTTTGTTTGTCAACAAAATCTCATCATGTCAACAAAGATGGCTAACCATAAAGAATTGACATCTTTGAGGAATAAAATACAGACTTTAGATATTCAGATCAAGAACAGATTTGGGTAGCTATGATGGAACTTGCAACTAAAATCTAGCATCAATAATATTTATTTATAATATTTATATAAATATCAATAAATAATATTTATAATATTTATCATATTCCAAATCTAGCATCAATAATATTTAAAAGTAAGTAAAAAATGTTGGACAGATGAATATTACTTACAATTTTCAGTTGTTCATCTGTGAAAAACACAATCTCAGGAGCAGAGATTGACAACAGGGCACGATGTCTGAAGACTTTGCTATGGTCACAACCCGTCAAGTCCTTCAGAATAGCACGGACACGAGCATCCATGAATCTTGGAGCTGGGTCAGCATCTGCAATGATAGATCCATCAAAAATTTAAACTTTGATATTTTGCTCAATGATCACACAGAAAGCTAATTTGGCTGTGATAAAATAAGTCTACAAGTTCTCACCAAGATAGTATGAGGTTTTTTCACAAGATACAACTACATACTAAGTAAACAAATGACAGCATTGGCCAGCAGCACCAACAGCTCAACGGACAATAAATTGGAATTTGTCCAAAATAAAAGGCTGCATTGAAGTCAAGTTTCAAGGCATTAAGTGACTAAAAAATACTAAAAATTCATGTTTCCACATAGATTTAAATGCTACTAACATTGAGAAACTTCAAGATATCTTTCATATCACATATACCTGTTAAATATATTTTAACTTGGCTATATATGTCACAAAATATTGCTTTGAGACCAATGGGTCTGTTCATTACATTAAAATGTACCATCAAACGGGGTAATAAGGGACAGGCGGGGTAATAAGGGACGGGTGGAGTAATAAGGGACAGTCCTCCAACATTTTGGAGAAATGTTGTAGCAGATAAACTAATTGAATTGGTGAAGTAATTGTAATTTTGCACCATTTTAATTGAGTCAAGTGAATTCATCATAAAGACATACATACAAAAACATCATAAAGACATACATACCCATAACAGAAAGGAATATTTTAGTGACAACCATCATATTTTTTGGAGAAATATATTTATAGTTTATGTTAATTACTTTCCATTCTATGTTGCCTGCAGGGTTGGTGATTTTTTTTATTTAAAAAAAATCAAAAAAATCAAAAATCAATGATTTTTTTATTTTTTTCATGATTTTTTTGATTTATTTGATTTTTTTGATTTTTTTCAACTTTTTTGTCTTTTTTGAAGTGTTATTTTTTATGTTGCAATTAGCCTACTAGCAATAACAGTATATGGATCATAATTGATGGCTAAAAAGGGCACTTATTGCCTTCAATAATGGCCAACAGGCCAAGGTGGTGTTTACCACTTAGGGATTTTTGGGTAAACAATTATTGTTAAGTCCTGTCTCTTATACACATCTAGATGTGTATAAGAGACAGGTATAAGCTAGCTAACACATTTAAATTGTATATTGTAATCAATATATAACAAATAGTCAAATAGTTAAAGACTACTTATAGCCTTATAAGAATTAGCTAAGCTGCTAGCTATGTACAATGTATTGCACACTTGATGCCTCTGTACCAAAAACATTCAATCTATTGGAACCTAATACACACTAAAGGCAACAAGTTTATATACCAATTTGTCATTCATAGTACATTAATACTAAACCATGAATAACAATACCTCACTATAAATTAAAGACTGCCACTCAATATATTTAAATATATGAAAAAATAAAAAAAATCAAATAAATAAAAAAAATCAAGTGATTTAATCACGTGATTTAATAATTTTGATTTAATCATTGCCAACCCTGGTTGCCTGGTGCACAATTCTATCTATGACATTCTATGCACAATTTTGTGATGACCAATGATGCATTAATTTTTCCTTTAGTTAATTTTTTTTGCTGAGTAAAGTAAATGTAATCAAAATTTTTTATTATTAATACATTTTTGATAACTGGGGCCTTTGTTAACTTAGGTTCTACTGTATATGCATTTTTAGGAGTGTCCCTTATTACCCCGCCCTGCAGAAATGACAGCCGTTTTTTTAATGAGATAGGCAAATTCCATCAATCATGTTTTTAAGCCAACACCTGTGTGCAACTTTCATGTAAGTAAAATTTTTTAATACAGCAAATATTTTTTTTGCTAGAGACCTTAGCAGAGGTACTTTTCCCAAATTTCACTTTTCACACTTTCTTTCAGGGATTTTTTAAAGTTAGTAAATGTATGATTTCCTAACTTGCTTTATGTTACATAGATAGTAAAGATGTTGAACTTTATGCCACTATTCTTAGTTTTGCAATATTTTGATTAGTTTAGCTGCTACAGCATTTCTATGAAATGTGGGACAACTGTCCCGATTTACCCCACCTGTCCCTTATTACCCCATTTGACAGTTTGGAAAAAAAAAATTTCATGACCCTCAATGCCCATCAATATAATTTTCCAATACTCATATATGACAGGTTTAGCATGACTGGAAGATTCTTTGTGTATATTCTATCATTTCCTACAGTTCATGAATAGCAAATGTGTAAATGCATAGAGCAGGAAGACACAGGAAAATAAATGACACAAATCTGAAATGAAGCCCACACTGGTATTATTATGAATTCAATAGTGTCAAATCACACAACAAATATTGAGTAATGCACACAAGATTGTACATGATAATGTCAATACAGTTCAGAACACTCTTCACCACCACTACCCTAACATTCAAGTGGCAGCTATTTCATCAACTTTTTCTTTAATGTTCAGTTCAAGAGTGTCTAGCTTCTGTTGCTTTGATTTCAAAGATTGCCTCATGACGTTGAACTTGGCAATAACTTTCAAATCCCTTTTTCTCTCCATTGCTTCTGCATATTCATCTGCTGCTTGCTCAAGCACCTCAAGGCCCTCCTCCATATTCCTTTTCATCTTCTTATTCAGTTCATCTAGCTCATCCAACAGAGCTCCATAAGCAAACATGCATGTCTGGCTGCTGGAAAGTGTAAATTTCATGACTTATGGCGTAAGTCATGAAATTTACACTTTCCAGGCATGGTGACAAACAAGAAACTGTGCCAATCAAAATGTAGGAAACGACAAACGAGAGACTACACAAACACATTTTTTGCATTTTTCTTCTTTTATTTGTAAATTCCATGACTATTCATGAAATGAAATCCGGTGACTTTCCAGGCCTGGAAAATGAAAAATCAAATTCCATGACTTTTCAGGTTTTCCTCGACTGGTAGTTGGTACAGACCCTGCTTAGCCTGCTATAGACAATTTTTGCTACAAACATTTTTGCTGCTATAAACAATATAAACAATATTTTTTCATTTGCTTATATTCCGGATTGTTAGTAAGCCTGTAAATGATAAAATAATAAGCACTTACTAAAAAAAATTTTTGCATACAAATATTAAAACTGAACAGTGGAAGTTATTTTATCCAGAATTTTTTGACAATTTAACCTAATTCTCTAAATTGGCCATTTTGGTTTTTGCTTTGTTTTAATTCATGGAATAAATATAAAAATGCAATTACTATTTCAGTAGGGTAGGCCTATCTGTAAATACTAGAATGATTTGATCCTTGGAAAAAGGGGTCTTTTAACGTAGGTAAACGTGGTATATTCCAAAATCGTAGGTGATTCTGACACTTTTTCAACTTTTTCCTTTATATTAAGCTTTCTCTTAGTTCCACGCATTCGTTGATGGTTGAAATAGTGACGTCATACTATTGCGCACCATACTATTGCCAAAACACTAGGTCTGGGCCGTCTGGCAGGAAAATGTTAAGATCCAAAGAGAGACTGTGCACGACGCACATCACCCAGTGAGAACATCGAAAAACTTGTCAAAGTTGATAGTTGACATTGCTCTACCAAATAGTGATAAACTGTTTGTGTAGAAAGAATATTATGGTTTGAGACTTTTAAATAAGTCTGTGAATATATTAGGAATCCACTAAGTATACTTGTATTTGCCAATTTCAAGTGGTAAATTAATAGATGATTAAGTTGAGCGATGGTTCTAGACACAAAAAAACTAATTCCAACACAGCTTGGAATTAGACATACACAGCAGTGTGGAATTCTGTATAGGTAATATATTCTCATTTCAATATAAGAAAACGTTTTGAAAAATCAACCCTACCACCGCATTATACCACCTTCCACTGCAATGAAAATTGATAAACTGAGCTCATTAGAAACTGCCGCACTTCTGAAATCATGTGTGGTTTGAAATCCAATCCCGTGTTGCCAACGCCTAATAAAGTTAACTAGTCGTTCATCTGTAGGCTAGTGGACACATTTTTGCAATGAATACGTTCTAAAATAAAAAAAACACATCCACAATTGTAAAAAAAATTCTCACGATTGGACAACACCAACAAAGTTTTTGATATCACACAAAATTATGAAATAAACTGCTACCGGTACTCTTTCACTGCGTACGTTCACATCGTGCTTTCTATGTTTGCGTATTACAAGACGGTGTCACACACACTTATGTTTTGGTTGTGTCTAGTTTGATTTCACAATAAATAGATTTGATTCACATTCAATTCTGAGATTTAAATGATTGAAAGTTTTTTTTTTCATACATCACAAATTGAATGACATTGGATGGATTTGATAGGTATTTTATTAATCCTGTTTATATATAAGAACGGAAATGACGCTTCTATTTCAGAATGATAATGGAAATGTTCCTACTATTTCAGAAACTTTTCTTGAATACACTTCCAATCAATGGAGTCTTTGAAATGACAAAATCGTTCAATTTAAAATTTTTAGCTACGTATATGAGTGAGATTGTCATTCATCAATATGAGGAGCATTCATTCGTCATTCGTGAGGAGCTGTAAGAAAAAATTCGTTGTTTTTGATGTAAAAGAATGTTTTTCAATTTAAAGAAATGCAATACTTGATTTTTGGAAATACGATGCTAAAATTAACGATCCGTATTAGAATTCAATAGACGTTACGATTTCAGAATTATCTTCAAAAAGTTTGTTTTCGTTTGTTTGATCAGAAGTTTTTGTTTGTTTGATCAGAAACAGAAAAAGTATTCGTTCGTTTGATCAGAAACAACATAATTATTCATTCTCTTGCACTAAGTATACGAATGATTAGTTGGACTCGGTTACCGTCCGCATTGATCAGAAACAGAAAAAGTTTTTGTTTGTTTGATCAGAAACAACATAATTATTCATTCTCTTGCACTAAGTATACGAATGATTAGTTGGACTCGGTTACCGTCCGCATTGATCATCCCGCTAGATTATGCACCGGGATCGGGATGCGGGAAAGAAGCTAGGTATTTAATTCAGTTGCACGTTAGCCCACGCGATATGTAGTTCTGCTTGTCTGAACTCTGAATTGCGTGTTTAGTGTGCATGATGGAAAACTCAGCTTTGCAGCGTAGTTATAATTACTTAATGAAGTTTAGTTCATTGCAGTCAACTTAAGAGACAAATTTTCAACTAACTAATACTTTTTATACAACTTAAGAGACAAATTTTCAACTAACTAATACTTTTTATAAGTCTAATTTTAATTGTTGAATGAAAGGTGCAGGCATACAACTTCCAAGTGATTAGGTAGGTACTTTATAGAAACTGAGCAAATTATCATACATGTTTTAAGCCTTTAAGAAGTTCATTTTTTGCCTCAAATAACGATGTTGGGTAGAAAAAGTGGTCTTGGTGGATCAAAATAATATATGAACCTTCGAAATTAGAATTCCATCCTGACACAGCTCATTCCAAGCTGTGTCCAAATATTAACATTTCTTAATTAAAAGCCTAATAGCTCTTAATTAAAAGCTTGGTATTACTTTAGAAGCGTCCCTTAGCGACCCACTTTACGAGGTTCTTCTTCTGCAACACTCTAGTCATAACGACCAAAGTTTAGATTAAGTGCATCCAAAAAAAAAAAAAAGGTTTTTTCAATTATATGTTTTTTGGGGTGAAGATTAAGAATCTGAAATCCGTTTTTGGCGGTCGGCATCGGAAATTTTTAATAGAACCTGTTCCTAACTGGACCTACTGACCTAACCTGCAAGGTTTTAGTTGATTGGCTAGGTTTTTTCTATGTTTGGAGTCCATCCGGCGGCCGGAAAAACCTAGCGGCCTAGCCAATAGGTTTTTTCTATGTTTGGAGTCCGTCCGGCGGCCGGAAAAACCTAGCCAATCAACGAAAAACTTGCAGGTTAGGTCCAGTTAGGAACAGGTTCCATTTAAAATTTTCGATGCTGACCCCCAAAAACGGATATCAGATTCTTAATCTACATCCCAAAAAACATATAATAAAAAACACCTTTTTTTTATGCACTTAATCTAAAGTATTACCAAAAGCTTAGCTAATTGAAAAATTAAAATTTTTTAATTAAGCTTGTTTCGAGCTGTGTTGTATTCTGATACAGCTCACACAGGGCATCGGAATTCCAACACAGGGCGCTGGAATTACAAATTATTAGTTTGAAGCACTGCCAGAATTAGTCTCACTCTCACAATATGCCAAATTTAGTCACACACAGCATCAGAATTCAGGGATTTTGTAGGTTTAAATTCTAAAGGCTTTTAAATAAATATTGCAAGTTGGCAACAGTTTGTGATGTTTAATTACTGCTGGCGCGTAGTGTGGTGTTTTGAGAGTGACATAAACCATCAGAAATCGAGTTGCACATATGGTGATATTTTTATAGTAGCCATTCATTTCTTGCTACATCCTTAATGTGTCGGAATATAGGCCTACCGCGTTTACCCTTGTCAACTAATATAGCATTAGGCTAAACGCAGTATATTCCGACATCGTGGGTAATTCCGTCACCTCTCTAGTTTTTCCTTTATATTAAGCTTTGTTTTAGTTCCATGCGTTCGTTGATGGTTGAAATGGTGACGTCATACATTTGCA